GATGAGGGCAACAAATGTACATATGTGCTTGACACAATGGATGGATTTATGGATTGTGATAAGAATTGTATGAGCCCCCAATAAAATGATTTTTTTAAAAAGAACAAGGTTAATGAATTGATGGTTTCCCACAAACCAACTCCTATGAAGTGATTGTGTGCTTGGAGCAGTAAAGGTCAGGAGCCATATGCGCGCTCAGACCTAATGAGTGATTCCTCAGACCTGTTAGCACAGGTGTTGAACAGGGCAGTGGGGATCAAGAGAATATCTATTTATGAGTACTGAGAAAGAGTACTCTGTCTTCAAATTGAACACATTACTACAAGGTAGTGTGCCATCTCTCAAACCAAGTCTCTGCATCTCAAAATTGAGGTCAAGTCTGTATGGACTACCTTGAGTTTTGACCATTCAGAGGCTGAGTTAAAAAGTATCCTAGAAAAGCACAGAACATTTATTAAACAAACATTCAAAATGTGAAGCTGTTGTTTCTGCCTATATCCTACTTTTAGGTCTAGACACTTCTGAAGACAGTGTCTCCATCTCTCTAATCCTTCCCCCAGAAAACCCTACACTCTTCAATTTGTACCATATCAAAATCACAGTTTTGAGATCCCCAAGGGAGTTAAATCATGTTCTTTTTCAATGTTATTTGAGTTTGGAAAACTCAAAAAGAAGTCTGGAGGGTCAAGATCAGGACCCTAGGAGAGAGGTATAGGATTTCCCAACAAACTTCTCATAGGACAGCAGGGGAGTGATGGGGGGAGGGGGCGGAATCCCTGGTGCAGTATTCCTAGCCTTTTTCTCACCAATGAAGTTCCCTAGTTTCTTAAAACGTATGCCTAATAAGGCTCCATTATCGTAGCTGTGTCCTTCAAAATAATATAGCAAGATTGTTCCTTGAAGATCCCAAAGCCCAGTCACCATAACCTCCTTGAGCTGACCTTTCCGCCTTGAACTGCACTGGCCAAGAAGATCCCCTCCGGAGCCCCTGTTTTGATTGGCCCTTACTCTGGGTTGTATTGGTATCTGGTAATGATTCCGTCCACAACATCATCTTCATTAGCTTCGGTCTTGCTTAAAAGACCGATGGAAAGATCACCCCTTTGAACTAACTGATCTTTGAGCAGCAGCAGCCTCTTTCAGTACCCTTTTTTGAAGGTACTCGGAGATCAAGGCAAGCCTGTGGTAGAACTTTGCTGCAGCCGTCCACTAATGTTGAACAGATTGGGTTTGTAATAAACCCAACTAGAATCCTAGTAGCAATATTATTTTCCTTGTCTCATATATATCCTCTACAGATATAGTTGTACTTTGCCATTAATTACAAAGGACACTATTTCCTACCTGCTAAGTGGTGTAAGGTTCCTTTTACAGTGGTGTTCCACATCAGATCCTTAAAACTCAACGTATATGAAAAAGGTCTTACAATTTCTCCCTTCTGTTTTTTTTATGATAGCTCAACATTCCAATGTGTGTCCAGAAACTTGCCATTTGTAACATGGTATTTGTTCATTTGCTCACAATGAAGTTTCATAGACTCTGACCCTTTACAGAAAAAGGAGTTTGACACCCTGCTTTTAAATGATCATTTGGATTCTTGACAAATGTTGGTAATTGAAGGTGGCTTCACAGATGAATTGATTCATTGCCAAGGTCTCCCTGTTATGAGCTATGGTTTAACTTCTCTGTGCCTTTACAGCCTGCCTACTATTGGGGGGAGAGGTTTGATTTGTATGAATAGCTCAACATTCATTGTAATATTGATCATGTATTTTATTTTTTAAATGGTCACAGATTATAGCTGTTCCAAAAACACTTGTCAAGCTGAAGTAGAGTTTTTCAAAATTAAGGTGTGCTTTCACGGAACGCAAATTGTCCCTACATGAAGGCTTGAAGTCAGAAAGGAAATGAGGACGTAGGAGGATCTTCATTACACATTAAATTATGAAATAAATGGGGAATGGCCATTTCGGCAGGAGAGTAACAAAGTGGGACAAGGAAGTGGCTTCCTTTAAACTGGAGAAACCATGCGATGAGGCCTAGTGTATCGCTACAACCTAAGAAACAAAGACCAAGTGCACACAAGCCATGTGCAGAATTCACCCAAGCCCCTCTGATCCAACAGAAACAAGCTCATGGCCATTGAGTCATTGCTGGCTCATAGCAATCCTATCAGACGGGGTAGAGCTGCCTCTACTCCTCATGGGAGTAGAAAGCCCCATCTGTCTCCCGAGGAGCGGCTGGTGGTTTCGAATTGTAGACTTTGGGGTCCCTGGCACTGCACTGCCAGGGACCCATAGCTCCTCTGATCAAAAAGGTAAAAGTCCAGGTTCACCAAATGGTGAAGTGTCACTCATAGGACTTTCAAGTCAACTCATATAATCACCCAAAGTAAGGTCTCTAAAGACCAGGTAGTCTTGTGTTCTACTAAAGAAATTGGAATCAACTTTCCTGGGAAAATGAAATAAACATTCTAACTTCTCTTTTACTTCCTTTTCCTTCCCTGGTTCTCATAGACACGCTATTTGGAAGGTCATGTGACCTTGACAGCTAAATGATGTTGTCTTTCCTGAAACCAGCCATCTGGTTTTTTCTCCTTCCATCCTCCCTTCTTAATTCCTTCTCACGTCCCTCTCCCCCAACACCCAGCCCTGGCCTCATCATCGTCTTCAAAGTCTTTTTCTTTGATATAAAAAACATTTTTATGTTCCTTTTTTCCTTCATGATAATGGTGTCATAAAATACTTATCCTTACGAGCTTGACTGACTTTGCTGAGCATAATGTCCTCCATTTCATGCCATGAGGGGTTTGACTCATCATCGCCTTCTAGGGATGCCTAATATTCCATGGTGTGTGTACCAGAGTTTGATTATCCATTCCTCTAAGGTGGTTTTATTGCCATTGTTTCCATCCTTTGCTCTTATAGAAATCGCTGCAGTAAACATGGGTGTGCAGATATCTGTTCATGTTTTATTCTTTATTTCTTTAGAGTATAGACCCAGTAGGATCCGGAAGTATTTGTATTTCTTTAAGGAAGCACCATTCTGTTTTCCATAATGGTTGGACAATGTATGAGCTGAAACCAGCAGTCTTAAGATGAAACATCTACCATATCCTACACACAAAGATGAGAAACGTCATGGAGAACAAACTCTGCTAGGGGTCGGGATTTGGTGCCCCGGGTCGCTTAATGTAGTGGAAAGAATGTTCCATTGGCCCCAGTTCTTGATTTGAGATCAGTTCTTCCAACGACCAGCCATGCATCTTGAGCAATGTCTCCCTTTATCTGTTCTATGGGAACACGAATGGTTACCTCGAGGACTGATATTGGAACCTGAAACCCCATGGCTGTCCTTAAGTTTTCAGCAAATGCTTGCTGAATCTGAACTCGTCTTTGTCTCTCTTTCAGAACTGTTTGACCTAGAAACAAACGAACATGTACAGAAGGCCATAAACGACCGGCAGATGCCCAAAGTAGAATACAGAAAGCTCGAGATAGATGATTACAGTAAGTGCCATGTTTTTGTGGGGGTTTTCCCTCTAAGAATAAAACCAAATCAACAAACTTCTGTTCTGAAGTTTGTGGCGTGTTGGAGCGTCAGCAATTGAAGCTTTCCCCAACCCTGTGGCAAGGCAGAATTCCCTGGGGAGCAGCTAGAAATGTGCTTTGCAGCCAGCAAGGGAGTTATTGTAGGATGGAGGGGGAAATATCTTGTGAATTTACTGTTCACAGCCATGCCACTCACTCTGCTGACCAACACAAACAGATGAGCATCTGCATTCTTCCCCGGTGAGGCTGACAATTGAAAGGCGGCACCAAACTGAAACGCTCTTCTTCTTTGGTGGCAACAGAATAAGAGATTCCCCTGTCCTTTGATATGTTTGAGTTCATTGATGATAAATATCTTTACTACTTTGTTATCTTTCCTCTACATATCGCACCTGATGTCACGAAACAAAAATTGTCTCAACTGTTAAATGTAAAACTACTTGGCCCTGTAAACTTCAAGCACAATAGCATGTTTTCAAAAAAGAAGTAGACACAGATAGTGGAGGTATTCCAAGTATCGGTCATCAGAGCTCGTGGTAGAAAATAGAATAGAAAACAAGTGGGCAAGGCCCACGAAATCACAATATCAGCTAACATTACACACCTCACCAAAGAGAAGCCATTCCAGCCATCACATTCTGGGTGAAGTAACCAAATGCTTGACCAATCTGGTCCCCACATGATGTTATAAATGTCCAAATGGCCCATGGCAGAAACAATGCCCCCATCCCTGGCTTCAGAAGATGGGTAAGCAAATAGTCCCCGTATACTTTCCATGTCTATCAACCTCAGGACTGCTTACACCATTTGCAAAATCCAATGCAAAAGGAAAATATAGGGCCCTCGTGCACAACCTATTGAGAACCTTAAGACTGCAACTGCAGAGAATTAACCTTCCAAGGGGAGACGTGCTCTAGAGCCAGCCCTGATAGCTCGCTCTGTCAGACCCCGAGCCCCTCTCCCAGCAAACGTTCCCAAACCTCTTTCATTGTATTTCTCACATCTGTTGCTTCTTTTCAGGATGGCTCTATTCCTTCACACGATGCCTTTTGATACCCTTAAATACAGCCCTTCATCATCCAACTCGCTCCACACATCACTTCCATGATAACATTTCCCAAATCTTAAAGCACTCCCGTGTGAAACGCATTCCCCACCTCTGAAAAAATGCAGGAAAAGAGCTTTTGAGACACAAATAAGCCAACTTTCCCACATCCTACAAAAACTTTCCCCAGAGAAGCTCTGTGGGTGCAGTTGAGAACGCGCACTAGACTGCTAACCACAACTTTGGTGGTTCAAACCCACCAGCCACTCCATGGGAAAAAAATGAGGCTACCTACTAACAACTTTCACAGCTTAGAACACCCTATGCAAGGTCATTAAAAGTTGGAATGGGCGCAATGGCCGGGGAGGTTGGGGGGCATAAATCTTCAGTTTGGAAGTCAAGTGTGAGAACAGATGCAAGAAAGAAGACACAGCTGTCTGCACGGGGGCCTGCGCAGAAAGAATGGGAACAGGTTGGCCCTACTGACTTGTTTTTATTTTGTTTGATGCTACCAGAGGCGTGGGCTTTTATTAGAAAAGTAATAGGTCTTCAAGAAGAGCTCTCCTGAAATGTATTCAGACAGCCTTGGCCCCAATTCAAGGTCTGCCCTTGGGCTTATCAGTGGCAGAGAGCAGCCCAGACCATGTTTTATGGATATTTAAATGATAAAGTCCAACGATTGCCTTTCTGCCTTCCCTGGGCCATTGATCCAATTTGCAAGTCATTAACATGCAGCAGAATAAGTAATCAGGCCGTGTCAGAGCTGACTTGCAGGTGCACAACCCAGCCTGGGGTGGATCACTGGATAGGAATTGTATGGAAAAGACCACAAATTCCAATTTAATTGCTATGCCTTTGGTAATCTGGGTTGTCATTCACATCAATAAAAAATTCTAACTTGAGTAGGAGGTTTGTTGTGTTTGAGGAAGAAGAAACGGGTGAGGAAATTTCTAAAATTTTGTGTCACCCTCTCCCTTTCTCTCCCCTTCCCACTGTTCCCAAGTATTGATTCCCAGCTGTGCTGTGGACACAGCAGCCCAGAGGGAACAGCCCAGGGACTGTGAGACATGAAATTTCATGCTGCACCAGGACACCTGGCAGAGGGATGCATGCTGCCCTCAGGGTTTCTATTTCTTCAGCCCATAATTCTCCTTGTTAACAAGCAGTTATGCCAATACCATCTATCCTAGTTTCCAAAGCAGTCCTGTATACAAGATTGAATTTAAGAATCAGATGAAGACACTAAACCTCAAAGATGTTGGGTGACTTGCCCAAGGTCACACAATGAATCAGTCCCTGAGACAGAACTCATAGCCAGCCTTCTGTTCTATGGATCAACTGCCAACACCTCCTCCCAACCCCCTAGTCCCCAAGTCCTACAAGGAGCATTTCTAACCAACCAACCCAGTTGAACACATCCAAGTCAAACCCGTCCAAATACCACCAGCACTTCTTCCATGTGTGATGACTGTCTCCTGCCTAACATGTTGATGTGTTTTGTTGCTGTGCCTCTTTTTTCCAAGACTTGCCAATGCAGATCCTGAAGCCGGCTACCTTTACAGACACAACCCACTATCCCCTGCTCCTGGTGGTGTGAGTACCAGCATGTCTTTCTTTCTTAGGGTGCTTACTTTGGGAATCAGTAACACCACACAACATGAATAGTCATCTCCAAAGAAAATAGTAACACTACACAAGAGAAATTCTATTGCTGCACAGTAGAAACTACAAACACGCTGACTCACCAGCAAATACCAGGTTCTGTGCGTCAACATTGGTGACCTCCGGAGGTGAAATGAAAGCAGAACTTGCATAGCATGAAGGCAGGTGGGCCATCCGTATGTTACCACCAGTCATGCAGCCATAGCTGATGGATGGCTCAGAGAGGGCTGGGAAAGGAGTCAGACAAGTACCCTTGTGAAAGGCTCCTTCTGGGGCTCCTAGTAATGTTGAGGGGGCAGGACTTGCCAACTTGAGGGTTGGACAGGGGACTCTGACTGCTGACAAACTGCTAGACTCAGAAGAGATGGAGGCTCATCTCTGGATGGCCCCACCTGGTCTCAGCCTGCTGAGCCGGTATATTTCACACTCTTGAGTTATGCAAGGGCACTGGTGCCTGCACATTATTTGCAGCCATGACAATGACACTACCTTGAACACCATTCATGCGTCCAGAATCATTCCTCATATAACTCATGCGATGGAACAAGCCCTCTTCTTTCTTTGTGGAGAGCAAAGAAAGTGCTACAGCAACCCCTCTGAAGGTGGAACCCTCGTTAGGAGACTGTGCATCTCGGTGAAGACCCCGGGTCCCGGCTGTGCATTCTGATTATTGCCCTGGGGGTTAAGGAAGAGCTAATTTACACTCTCACGGCTTTTGTAAAGTGAGGGGCCACGTGGGCAATTTAGCAAATGTTCTTCTGTACATCACAGTCTGTTCTTTTCAGGCCTTTGGGGGCCTGAAAAAAATTAACTGGTCATTATTTTTCAAGAATCCGAATTGAGCAAAGGTCTACACTGGGGCTGTTTTAGGGCATAGAGTGCAGGCCCCCATCTGAATAAATGCTACCCCGACTTCCCTCAATTGTCCTGCTCTGCTTCCATCCAGGGGCCTTGCCTACTGGGTAGAAAAAGGTTCCATGGCCAAGATATTCCAATATCTGATTTTGCGATGAGTTCATTTGAAATTAGCCCCAGAAACTGAATGTTTCCCCCTAAGCACACACGCTTTCTACTTTGCCTCCTCAACTTCCTTATTGAAGGGTAGATTTTCACAGCACTCTAAAATATACAAGGAGGCATGGTGTTACAGTTGCTTAAGCATTGAAGTGCTAACAGAAAAACTAGACCCGCCAGTCACGAGGACTCGTCTCATCCAGAAGAATCAACCACCTTGGAAACCCTGCACAGCGGTTCTTCTCTGCCCTGTAGTTTGCCCCAGGTCAGAATCGACCCTGTGGCTGGGGGTTAGTGGGATCAAGGATGCTACTGATGTCAAAGCCAGCTTTCATGCCCCGATCAAAGATTTTTCCAGCAGCCTTGAAGAAATCCCAAAATGGTCCTCAGTTTGAAAAACCATCCGACTTACTTTCAAAAGTAAAAGCGGTAGAACTCATCCCAGGGCAGCCTGTCATTTCATGAATTTAGAAAGGGCTTGAAATTAATTATTCACTGGTACAAAGCAGTTGACATATCACTTCATTCGCAAGCCTGCAAACTCCAAGCTTTTTGCGTCGTTATTTCTTGCTATGACTTCAAATTTGACAGCAATGAGGTTTGCTCGGCCCAGGGCGCTAAAGGAATCATACCATGCGGTGCCTTTTTAAAACAAACACCCAAAAGAAGGCAAAATGGCTTCCCACGTAGCAACGTCCTCCTAGAACAACAGTCCCCCACTGAGCCTCAGATGCATGACTCCAGGGTCATGCAATCTTTCGTCTGCCCCCACCCGCCAATGCTACACCTCACCCTGCATCTCTTGAGCCATTGGCAGAGAGCCGAGATGGCAGTGGTGCCAGGGATTGGCTTCCCTTTGAGTAGCACGTCTTCAGTTGGCCTAGTGAGCAGAGGGGATTATTGCCATCTGTCGCTGAGACTGGAATTGACCTTCTTTCCTGCCTGCCCACACTTTCTCCACTAAAAGGAAAGCACATTACATCACCTCCCCATACCCAGTGGTGTGGTGGTTTTTCAGGCAGTGCCCCGTTTATGGTATCACTGACCCATTGCGAGGTGTCAGTACTCCATTGTGGCTGGTTTTAAGTAGTCAGAGTGAGCCCACATAGCCCATTGAAACCCAACCCACGGAGGGCCTGGATTACACACTGCCTCCAAATGAACAGAAAGTTGCCTTCCTTTCTGAGGAGATGTGCACGCTGGTATTCTTTCTTTTAATTTATATTAAAAAAAAACTATTTCATAAAAGAAACAAATGCATCCTTGTCACTGATGGGAGGAGGACTGAGGGGAAACAGCATGAGACATCAATGTGCTAGGGAGAGAGAGCACTTCAGTGCGAACAACGCCACCCGAAGGAGGGGTTGACAGGCTTAAAGACAAAAACATTTCCTGTCTCCAAATCCAGGCTGCTTCCTGTGTCAGCTTTGGGAGAGTCCTTTTTGTTTGGGAAGGCGCTGATGATGTCCCAGGCCACGGAAGCATGCATTTGCCTCCGCACCCTCCTCTTGTCTCGCTGTTCATGCTCTGCTCACCCTCTTTGGCAACAGATCCGGAGGGCTCAGAATTGGGCAGCCCCGGGTCATGGGTGAAAACCCTTTGAAGGGAACCCCCAGCACGGGGGTTGGTAGACAAGTCACTACCATACAGGGCTGAGACCTGGGGTCCTCTTTTCCAGGGATGGAGCCCCAGGGAGCCAGAGTGTGGCAGAAAAGTTTGAAGTGAACTGGGAGACGGTGATGGTGAGTAGCCATGGAGCTGTGGTGGTGAAGTGTGACGGCCGTGGCAGTGGGTTCCAAGGAACGAATCTCCTGCACGAAGTGAGGAAGAAACTGGGCTCTCTGGAGGAGAAGGACCAGGTGGAAGCCGTAAGGTAAGCGCCCATCTGTGCTAGCCTGGGTTGACCAGAGAAACAAATTCTTGACACTCATATGTGTATAATAAAGAGTTTTATATAAAAGAGCTATTGACTATGGGGAAAACAGTCCAGTCCAGATCAGGTCCGTAAGTCTGATAATAGCCATATGTCTGCCACCAATCTATAAATCCCTCTTTAGACTTGCGAAATGACGCCAACTGCACGAAGATCACAGGCCAGTGGGTGAAAAGTCCTGTGGTCAGCGGCGGTTTAAGCATCTCAGGGCTCACATGGGTGTCCACGTGGCTCCTCCACCTCCAGGACTCTAGCATAGCTCCATATGTCTTGTCATCAGGAATACCACACAAGAAGTGAGTGAGTGTGTGTCCCGCCTCCCGCGAGCTATTTATCTCTTTAGTGCCTCCAAATGAGGTCATTAAGCTGCGACCTGATTGGCAGGCCAAACTCCACCCCATGACTCTGAAGAGTCGCAAGTTGACAATAGCTTATGTAACTACCACACCATCCCAGCCCGTGCCATTAGAAGGACGCAAGCAGAGTAACAGGGACCCGGCCAGCCTACTCCGATTGTGTTTCTCCTCAATGCATGCATTTTGGTTGGAATTTACCCATGTACACAAACACTGAACATTTCCAAATGCCCAGGGAAACTATCCGTAATGTTCTCCTGAAGAGACTTTAATGATCATATTTCCAAATCTAACTGGCTCATTTCATGTGTTAACCACAACAAGGCCAAGAGAGACAGAAACAGAGTCGCACCTCCACACAGGCGGCCTGGGGTCTCTGTAGTATGGCTACAGACCTTTGCCCGTATCTGCACCTCTCTCTGTCACACGACACAAGGGGTGTGCATGAATGGAAAAAGGAATGGATTCATGCAAATCTGTCACCCTCATTACCAAGAAAATGAACCCCTAGACACACCCAGTGGTTTGCTTAGAGAATGTAGCCCTCAATTCTGAAAAATGGCACATATTCGGTTGAGGTGAAATTTGCATTACAGAAAACTAACCAGGTTAGGGTGTGTGATTAAGGGGCTTGTAGTTCACTCACAATACTGAGTAGCCATCATCAATACCAAGTTGTGAAACATGTTATCACCCCCATTCCTCCCTCCCACCCCACCTGGCAATCACCAAGCTGCTTACTATCTCTGTGGGTTTACTTATTTGGGGTATTTTCTATAAATGGAATCAGACAATATTGGCCTTTTCTGCCTGGTTTCTTTCTCTAAGGACAGTATTTTCAAGGATCATCTGTTTGTTTCAATAATATAAATAATGGTTTTATATGATGGTATGATATTCCACTAATTTGGTTTCTCCGGTTAGCAGTTGGTATACGTTTGTTTTGTTTTCGTTTTATAGATATTAGGAAGAGGATACTATGAGCATTCATGTATGAAACTTCGTGTGAGCCTATGTTCGGTCCCATTGGATCTAGCATCTACAGGAGTGGACTTGCTGGGCCCTATGGAAACTCTGTTTGTTCGAGGAACTGCCAAGCTGTTCTGCACAGCAACTGTGCCGTTTTCCTTCCTTCCCCAAAGTACACAAGGGTCCCAATTACTCCACATCCTTGTCCTCACTAGTTATTTTCAGGTTATTTTTGGTTTTATTTTAGCCATGTTTACTCCCCTCCCATTGGCACTGCCACAGAGTTGATTTTGACTCACAGTAACCCTGTAGGACAGGGTAGCCCTGCCTCTTCTGCTTTCCAAGGCTGTAAAGCTTGACAGAAATAAAAAGCCACATCCCATTCCATGGAGCAGCTGATGGATTTGAACTGCTGACCTTGCAGTTAGCATCCCAACCTACTATGCCATCAGGGCGCCTCTTAGCCACCCTAGTGGTGGGAAATAGAAACCCTGGTGCGGTAGTGAACTAAGCATCAGGCTGCTAACTGCAAGGTCTGTAGTCCAAACCCACTGCTCCTTGGGAGAAGGATGACACTGCCCACCCCGTGCCTGGAAAGCCTAAGGAGCACTTGTACTCCACCCTTCAGGGCACCACGAGTCAGAATCAACTTGACGGCGTGAGTTTTGTTGGGGGACATGAGTGGGAAGTGGGATCACATTGTGATTTGGATTTACATTTCCCTGGTAACAAAATCATTAAGCATTTTTATGGGCTTGTGACCTTTTATATATCCTCTTTAGTGAAATATCTCTTCAGACTTATTGCTTGTGTGGATTTCGTTACTGTTCATTTTGGCTGTTTGGATAAAGTGGTATGTTTTGTTTTATCCTTCCTTCGCATCCCTATCATTGATTCAACAAGATGAACAGAGCATTGTAGAGAACAGAAAGAGGTTTCGATCCAAGCGATTGATGCTCACAATTATTTATTGAATTGCCCTGTTGGTTTATGAAAACAGATACCAAGAACCAGTGCCAGGCTACCAATTCGGGCTCACTTTGAAGATGTGTAATTGTCGTAGTCGTGTAGTGTAGGAAAGTACAGGGGTCCACAGGGCTTACCCACGAAGTGATGTTACAAGAATAACTCAACCCACTCTGCAGACTCAATATTTGGAAAGGCAAGAAGAGCAAGGGAGCACAGATCACACATAGCCAGGGTTTGAACAGCAAGGCCTGCCCTCCCCTCACCCTGCAGATGATGAGTACACGAGGTGCGAGTCTGGCCACAGAGAGAGTGCTAAATTCATAAACATGTGTTTTCCGTATCATTTTGAAATAACTATGGCATATCTATACCTGTTGTCATGTCTTATACTTTGCAAGCTTAAAAGATTTGACCTTGGCCAGTATTCACACACATCTTCACTGTTCAACACAAAAGAAAGAGAGAGGCAAGGAGGGGAAAACTTTTCAAAGCAGGTTCTGTCTTCTTTTTAAAAGATTGGCGCCCCATGGGAAATACGCATATCTATGTTTGTTGAATGAGAAAGCAGTATTTGAATGAATGCCCCCCCTTTTCTTAGGGAGTTATGAGCTAGTTAAAAAAAAAGACAAAGCAATATGCCCAATATGTTACAGTCAATTCAGAGGAGGGAGCAATCCCAAGGGACCAAACTAATGAGGAAAGGTATATTGGTTAAAATAGTTCTACCTGGCAGTTAACAAGAAAGCACACACAGAATTCCAGCATGATTGAAGAATATGGAGCTATGTTGGCTCAGGTAACTTGGAATCCAGTGGAGGTGCGGGAGACATCCTCAGGATTGATTGATCCAGTGGCCCAGCAAAGCTGGAGAGACCAGGGTCCCTCCCCCACATCCCCTCTCAGCCAACCACAATGACCTCCCTATAAGCCCGGTTCTCCTGCTCCCAGATGGTTGCCAGGAGGCCTGGTTCCAGGCTTCTGTATTGGTCTGCACATTGGTGAGGGGGCACTTCCAAAAACCATTGCAGCAAAGGAGGAGAGGGTCTTCCCAGAGAAACCTGGCAAACCTCTCCTTAAGTCACACTGGCCCTGAAGTGCACATTCCAGAAACAGTCACAGGCAAGGGATATGCAGGCAGCTACCTAGAAACCAGTGGGCCCACCCTGAGCCTGGACATGAGGTCAGCCTGGATGGGGTCAAAGGCGGGTGGCAGAACAACTAGGGGTACTGTGAAGAAAGAGAGTGAGCCTGGGGAGGTAGACTAGCAACCAGCAATTGCCACCGCAGCAGATGAGGCCAAGTGGGCTTGGGAATGAGAGTGGAACTCAAGTTCACAGCTATGTGAAGCCATTCCTTACGAGGAGCGACATAGCAAAGTCTCTCCCATCTCTTCGTCCTTTTTCCTCCTGGGTTTTTCCTATTTGCTGCTGTTTTCTCTCCTTGCCCCCCCCCCCC